AAATGGCCTCATTAGGCGGTGGAGTAACTTTGATAAAAACCAGAATGAGTCTCTCTGTGGGAGCCGCCGGTCTCTAAGCGATATGACTGAACATATTTAGTGTTTTATTTTCTTAATCATCTTTTGTTCAAGTTATAACCTCCCTCTTATGTCTAGATTTAATATTAAAAATGTAACGAAAAAAAAGATGAGGGCTTGATTAAATTTCAATGTCTAAATAATTAATATGAATAATAACAAAGACATTCCAAACACAACTTCCTTCAATAGCAGATTATTATTGTTTGTCGGTACTGGCATATAAAAATAGCGAATCGTCGATGTGTTAAAGTAGTGATGTTTATTATAAATGATGCGACAGCTGTAACACAAAGGATAGCTTCATATGCAATCGATCGCTCTCGCGCTACCCCAACAGACAGCGTCGACGCGTGCGGACGTGGAACTCTTAATTCCGTAATTAATAAATGTCTTCAGCGCTGACGTTATTAACGTTTACACGCGTGACGTTCGCGCTGAAGCGGCGGCCCCTCACCATCTGAAACTTTACCTACAATATGTACATTAACCTACGTCGAGTAGAGACAAATCTGATTAGTACTTCTGCAGGAAATTGTGAAACCAACTGATGTTATTTGCAGTCGGAGGTTGCCTCACCGTTTTCGAAACGGACAACTATTTATATGCGCAACAGTTTCGGTTTTAATTTTTATGAGCTATTCATTATCCAAACTCATTACGTACAAATATTTTTATTGTTTAGAAGTAATTACAGGAATGTGACTGTGAAGCACACGCGCTCAATTGTACCTATATATGCAAACACTGGGTACATGGCGAGCGGTCCACCCATAGGTACGTATATGTACAACAATAGCCCACCACCGCACTGTGTACTGACGTACAAATGAACAAACTAATTGAATCGGAGCTGCTAATTAGAAGTAGATTCTGTCGGTGAGGCAGCGGAGCGCGAACTTTCCTCCCCTCTGCGCACCACCCCCGCATACCAGGCCACTAGCAGCGCCAGCTGTTGGGACTCGCCGCCCGTCGATTTAGGCAGTTGCCGGAAGCAAACCTCTTATGATGCATAGTTTAGGTTTTTTCAAAGAATGTTGGGAATTTTTGAAATTTTAGAGAGAGTAAGTTATGTCGGTAGAAAAACGAAATAACATATGCCGTTAAAGAAACATTATTGAGATAAAGAGAAAACAAACATTATAAGTAATCTAGTAACAACGAAATGCAGCACAAATTGTCTCTATATTTGTAAATAAGTAATGCTTAATACTTCGGAACTTTCTAGTATTTACGATAATTATACTAGCTGTAGGATAATATTGTATTTTGTAAGTTTCGATCAAAATCTATGTCCTGATAATATAAAAAGGAATAATATAAGTGAAGGCTAATAGAACATTAACGCAACCTATGATGGAACACTCCCAAGTCAGATTTCGATAAACAATTTCCACAAGGTACTCTGTTGTTTTAAAACGTTTCGATGTATTGCCGGCACTTTGCACGACAGCATGGCCATCGAAAATAAACAGATAGTATCCAGTCAGCCCTATCGTTGGTTCGTTTTGTTTGATAGATACATAACTTTCCACATTTTACTTCTGTAAGGTATTGTATTACGTTTGCCATGTCATAGTTTACAAGCTCCACACTGTGGCTTCGGGTACATTATCTCTTTTTAATGTTAAATTAATATAGAATATTGCCCCATGTTTATCAAATATGTTATATTTGTTTCACATCTTATTCGTTTTTAAAACGATTTTTATTGATTTTACATACCAGGTATTTCCGTTCACACCTCGAACTAAACTAACTAAACAAGATGTTTGTATATAAATGACATATTATACGTGGTCCGGATAGAGTTTAAACTGTCATCACAACGAACAACGTCGAGACTTTATAACATTTTTTGCTATTAACGTGTGTAATTATACTGCATTCTTTTGAATATATGACCGATTCAAATTGTATTGATAATATTAAAAATTTAGAGGAGTTCTCGAGCTATTGCTTAACACTCGTTTTCCCATCTGTGTACCTAAAAACAACCTGTTCTTTCCCTGGCCTTGTCTTCTTACCAACTTTCCTTTATAATATACAGGAGTATACTGAAAAAAACCAACATACCACCTACCTACTTACATACTACCTATATGTAGGAATAAAATTAATTTTAGAGATAGGTATGTAGGTGTACAACACACATTTGCCTTCAGAGTGACTTATCGTGAATGTAATATATTTTTTTAATTTTATAAACCAACAATTTGTTTACCTAAGTTCTTAACTGTACATGTGTATGATACTCATATGAGCAATACAACATACTGCAACTACTGAGCTATTGAAATCTAATCTAATAGGTTGATCACATTGGGCATCGTGACTTTGTATTTTCATTTGATGATCACATCAAATGGCGGGCAACTCTTGTATGTACCTAAGTCATTCGAAGAGATTATTTCTTCAGTTCTTTTTCCTTTATATTTTAAAACATGATTTATGTAATATGAATTTTGAATGAATACGATTTCGTACGTGTGCCGTCATGATAGCGACTTATTAGACAAAATAAAAAGAAATGATAGATACCCGTCGTTAGTTATCGAGTTCAAACTTCAAACACTTCGTAATAGACTTCCTTAATAGAGCTGGTAGAGCTTTATTAATACTTATAATTTTAATTAAGTTTTTTCGTTGACAGTTGGATGTCAGCTAAAATTTAAGTATTATTAAATACTTAAAGACGTGTGGATTGAAAATGGCACGTTAATAACGTAATAATGCACGTAAATCAAACTAATTAATAATAAGTTCGATTATTTGTACATTTTAACCATTATTTATATAGAAGTGAATTTGAATAGTCGCAACACTACGGTAAAGTCTAATAAATAATTAATAGGTCTTTACCTATGAAATTGTCGTTTTGTATGCAATAAGTGAAAGTACTTACTTTTTCAAACTTTTTTATTTCTGTTATTCGAAGTAATCACCCATGTAATCGACGCATCTTTGCCAACGCATTGGCAGTTTATTGATTGATTATTGATTTCTTGTAAATATCAGCTGGACGGGAGGCAACAAACGAAGGCATTTTGTACTGCCTCTCGGCAATTGAATTGAATTTTTTACCCACTAAAAAGTTGTCTAAATTTTGGAAAAAGTAATAGTCGGTAGGTGCAAGGTCTGGTGAGTATGGCGGATGAGGGAGAGCTTCCAACCCCAGCTCTTGCAGCTTAGAGACTGTCTGTTGCGCAGTATGGGGTCGCGCGTTGTCGTGAAGGAGCAGTGGGGACGACCGATTGACCAAAGCTGGTTGCAGATGTGACCACCAGACCTTGAACCTACCGACACCGACTTGGATACACCTGATGGAGAGTGACCATCGCCGCCCATGAACGTCTGTAACTCAGGAGTCACAAACGCGTTGCGTAGACAAACGTAGATTTTAGTTTATTTGCCCTTTCTTCTCATAAGGCTCAACCCTTTGAAAACGGACGGTTATAGATCGACACAGGCATATAATGGATTGACTTCATTTTGCTAAATATTTTTCAAAAATAATTGTTGCTATTGTGTGTGTTGATCTATGAGTTTAGAGTCTAAGCAATTTCAAAATATATTTTTTATGAAATAAAAATATTTTGAGTTTGAGTTTATTCTCGTAATCGCTAAACTCGTTGATAAATTTTCGTCCCGTTCAACGTTTTTATGTGAATTAACATCTTAATCTGAATAAAAAGTATTAAGATGTTACATTTTGTTCCTGTATCGTGCAGCGGCTGAGGGAGACGGCGGACGAGGTGCTCTGTCGTTGTTACAACACTTTGTTTGACATCTCTGTAGCTCGTCCATTATTTACTGTCATAACCGTTCCCCGGCGGAGGGCGCTGCCGCACCGCCGCCGCACCGCGCGCCGCACCGCCCCCGCACCGCGCGCCGCGCCGCCTAATTAATGAGCACCGACCTACACAAAACAACGTTAACTTATTACTAGCGTTAAAGCGTTATTTCTCTTATGATACATCTCTTTTAACTGTCACTTACATTTTATTTGGTGTAACAAAATCGAGTGAAAGGGATATTCTTGAATGGGTTATAAATCTCTTAAAGTCGTCGAATGCGTAACGACTCGATTTACAGTTTGAGTTTTTCAGTGTTTTAGAGCATTTAAAAAGTATTAAAGTTATATAAGTGATATTTATTGCTGTATCTTTTTAAATATTTTTGAAAGTCGAACTTTACAGCCAGCAGGAGCCAGCATTTCCTAAGACTCACTCTGGGAAGAAACGCCGTAATAAACCACAGACGTGTCTTTTTATAGTCCGAAAACAAAGTGAAAGGAAACTGTGCGAGTACAGTATAGGGTCTGAGTAGGACTTTTGAAGAAAGGACCATGGTTTTCAGTCGGCCTGTCCATACAGAAGACATACGGGCCCCAGCCATCGTGTAGCTTAATCGATATTAGTCAAGATTAACGACCCGAAGCACGACACTAACGCCAGGAGGACATTTGGGCAGGCCGTGAAAACACTCAAAGCCACCAGAAAGTTACTAAATACTACATTCACTAACATGACAAGCCTACACTGTACCCACAATACATACACAAAAAATATACTATAAAGTTCAAGTTCAAGGAAAAATAATCAAATTGAAAGATATTTCTTGATCCAAGGTTTTGCACGTGAAAGTCCCATCGAGGATCTTCGTGTAAAGAGATTTAAAGAAAGAAATCTACAATATATTACGACATGTTCCTTCAGGAGAAAGTCACGTGTGAGTATAAATTGAGTTAGGAGAGAGGTACCTAGGTGATTTCTGAAGACAAATTTATGTACCTTTCCACCCCCAGCAAATTCCGTCTACCTATTTACAAGTAATATTATAATTTCTAATTGTTAAACATTATGAATAGAGAGGAGAGTTCAGAGAGGAAAGTAAAGTACATAAAGTACCTATCAAGTGTTTCATAACTGCCCTGTAAACTCCTCGAACAAGGCAGTAGAGATATATTCGCGACATTCACGATCGTGTCCGCATGTATGAATTACCTTGTTAATACAGCTCAAGGCACGCGCTCCCGACGTGCCTTCATATTTATCGTGCGCGGCGCGCGCGCAGCCCTCCTCACAGATAATGTATTCTCTTTGCAGCGCTCTCCACTTTGTCTCCATTTCCGGCGTGTCTCTGATCAAACGCGATCGCTCCGAGATTAAACTGCCGTCATGCCTCGTTATAAATATGCACATTTATTAGTTTGTTGTGCGTAAGTGTGAACTACAGACTTTGTCAGCTCCAAGTCAAATGTTAAAAGTATGTCTAAACAATTTGTTCAGACTCACGCCAGCTCAGTTGCGGCAGCGTGATTTACTTTAGCTGAGACAATACTGCAAATAGGTTTATTATCGTTGGTCCTACGCATTAAAGTACTAAGTACCTACGAATAATTAAACGGACGAAATTTTCCTACGTTTTCGCTTAACCTCTTCTCTATACTCCACGTGAAAATCTGCAACAGGAAAATTGGGTATCGGGATGTGTGGGATGTCGTTTTAGAGTAGGTATCTTAATTCAATTCAGCGCTTATAACAACTTTCGAAGGATCTTGAAAACATCTCCATAGACTAAGTTAGTGAAGCTTGAATGAAATCGTTTATTCTACAAATCCTCGTAGATGACAAGAACACTTTTTGTACGGTGAACCGCACATTTTACATTATTAAAACGGCTCACGCTGCGCCGAGCCAATTTACCTAATCTGCACATACGCAAGTTAATAAATTTAGTGTTCATTTACCAGTCATATAGAGCGGTTTTATTCTGACACTCATAACTTAACATACATTTCAATTATTAACATTTCTTATCATTTTCTATCATACATCTGTGTAAGGAACCACGGTAACCCTTAGATAGTTTTATTGGTCCTTCGAGCGCTCCGCAGTGCAGGATCACGTCCTCTTGAGTATAAACTTTTTTCGGCTTCGGTTTAGTATTTACAGAGTGAACGTCATTCATTTTAGTAAACTTCGAGATATTTTTGGACACACATTAAATTTTCATATTTGTATTATGAAGATCTTTGAGTTTGGAACGGAGAGAAACTCGAGGGGCTACCTAAACTATCCGAATTTCCTCAGAAATACACGGGCAAGGAAGTATGCCTGTCCTTTCTAACTGTTACCGTGTCCGTGTGACCGATTTGTCATGTCAGTCATAGGAGCACTTCAGACAAGCTTAAGACAGGACCTTTGTAGACCCGACAGCTTGCTCCAAAGCTGGTCGGCGCTGCGTCTGCCCTAGGGCGACTCTTGCCCAATATGGGTGGACCCAGCGTCGCGACAAGACGGCTGTACACGGGGGTTGTCCGGTCAATGGCACTGTACGGTGCACCGGTGTGGGCGGCGGCTCTGACCGCCCAGAATAGGGTACGCCTCTGGCGCCCTCAGAGGGTAATGGCGGTCAGAGCCATACGCGGTTACCGCACCGTTTCTACGGAGGTGGCATGCGCGTTGGCCGGAACTCCCCCGTGGGATTTGGAGGCGGAAGTGCTCGCCGAAGTTTATCGGCGAGTGGCTGACTCCCGGGCGGAGGGCGAAATCCGCTCTCCGCCCGGGAGTCAGCCACTCGCCGGACAGTCGCACACAGTCGAGGATGTGCGCGAGTGGCGCGAAGCCGCTCGCCGAGCCACGATGGCTCGTTGGTCGTTCCGGCTGGAGACTCCACGCGCTGGCTTCGCCGCCGTGGAGGCTCTCCAGCCGGTCATCGCCGAGTGGGCAGGGCGGCAGCACGGGACCCTTTCCTTCCGGCTGACGCAGGTGCTTTCCGGGCACGGTTGCTTCGGAAAGTACCTGCACACGGTCGCTAGGAGGGAACTGAGTCCCGCCTGCCACCACTGCGACTGCAGTGAGGACTCGGCCCAGCACACGCTGGCGGTCTGCCCAGCATGGGCGGCGCAGCGCCGGGCCCTCACTGCAGTCATCGGAGTGGATCTCTCGCTACCGGCCGTAGTACGCTCCATGGCCGGTAGCGACAGTTGTTTCACCGCGGTCGCAACCTTCTGCGAGGTAGTAATCTCGCGGAAGGAGGCGGCGGAGAGGGCCCGGGAGGACGACCTCCACTCGGACCCGATCCGCCGCCGGCGAACCGGGCGGCGGAGGCCCGCCTATCACAGCCTCATGCCGCCCTGAGTGTGGCCGCGGGTGGACGGGGTGGGTTTCCCCTCCACCCGCATTAGTTGGCCAGCCGCGAGGGGGCGGTGTCCGCGTGTGCCGGACGTCGCCTACAGAGAGGAACATCAACAATGAGACGGAGCCCGCACCAGGAGCGGGCTGGCGCTAGGAGGGGTCCGGATGTCTTAACAACAGCTGTTCCCGGATCCCTCCTGTTACAGGCGCAGAGTGGCACACCGTGTGGTTTTAGTCGGTCCGAGTCCGACACACCACCCCGCCGCAAACCCCGGAGGGGTGACGGTCCGAGGGGATTTCCACACGTTAAAAAAAAAAAGAAAAAAAAAAGGACCTTTGTAGACGAGGTGACACTTGCCCTAAAATGGTGAAACAGCGTCGCATAGACTAGCTACCGACAACCTTCAACAAACGTGTCAAATATATGACTTACATTAGAGAAGACGGGTCTGGGGTTTGTGGTGTGACTCCATTCAGAAAAAAATGGGGTAATGGGAGTCAGTGGCAATGGTGCTCAGCATTCGAACTAGTTTGTCCAGGTGCAATTATCGGAACAAACGAATATTATCCTAAGTTACCCTTTTGGCGACGCGTTCATAGCTCTCGCGCATTAAGTCTCATGCATTCGTGCAAATAAGTGGTAAGTAGGTAACTAAATTGCCGCCATCGTTCCACACGGCAAAATTTTCATCCTCATTACCTGGAAAGTTGGCGCTTAACAACTGTGCGCTTTTCGAGATACTTTTTGCCCCGCACAACCAATCTGTGGAACGGGTTATCGTCTGCGGTATTTACGGACCGATACGATATTCAAACCTTCAAGAAAAGAGCGTACTCCTTCCTAAAAGGCCGGCAACGCGTTTGTGAGGCCTGAGTTGCAGACGTTCATGGACGGTGATGGTCACTTTCCATCAGGTGACCGGTCTGCCCGTCTGCCCCCTCTAACATAAAAAAAAACTAATATATACTTGTTAAATTTTCCAATATGCTCGTCAGGTAGTTAGGTAGCAGGCAGAGACTGCTCAAGCTTAAAGACCCATCTTAGAGTCGATTTTTTTATTAATTTCATAGCACCAGTAGTGTACCTACACACATATTACTTTAAAGTGGTACACCAGTTTCGCAGCTGTGGTCGTGAAGTAACTCAGAGCTGTAATAATGACTAATGACATCTATCTATTGTTCCGTCAGTTTTAGCGCGCAATCATCGCAAGTACACGCTCGTTTTGTCACTCGGGCGGAATGAGCTACGGATACATCTCATTCATACCGTTATTATGAAGACATACCGAACGTCGAATGGTAACAATACTTGACATAGTTTATATTTACCCGCCGCGCTGTGCGGCGGGAGGGAGGGGATACAATTTATGCGCGCACGCAAGACAGCCAGAGATTTATCGCGCGACGTCCGTGCACGTGCGACGCTCCTTACCGCGCCGCACCGCACTGCACCACTCACTACATCACTAAACACATGTATTTTTCTAATCAGACGTTCAATGTGTGTAATGACTGTCAGCCTCGCATTCAAACCGTATGCCACTCTTATTAGGATACCACTGTATCTGGAGGAAAATTCGTTTGCCAAATGTTAAGAGACATGTAGAATATTAACACTAATCGGGGGTTTGACTGTATCTATCTTGATTATTCGGTGTTTCGGATATTATCGCTTATATTTTATTCTCTTGTACGGTTTTTATAACTCAATATTTTAATTTAATTATATTTAATTGTTTTAGCAACGAGAACGCTCTTTGGATAGGTACTTAATATCGGTTGACATTTTTTTTTAAAGACGACTCTCGCATTAGGAATATATCCTGTGTCGCGGGGGACTTTACAAACATACATGAAACGGACACAAAAAACACCCAGACTCAGAACAACAATTTGTGGATCACACAAAGTATCGTCCCATGTGGGGATCGGACCCACAACACTCAGCATAAGTAGTAAGCAGCGTGGCGACCACTTAAACCACTACGCTATCCGTGCAGTTGACATAATCATGTGAGATATTTCTTCACTGTAACAAATCTCTATCTCTGTCTGTTTGTCAATCAATACTGTCCAAATACATTTTTTCGATATGTACCTACCTACACGTGTTTTTCTAAATTCTGAACGTTTAAGATAGTAGGTTAGGGTAAGGTAGTTACTGTGCTATATTTGGATTGGGTTATGTTAGGTAATATTTGAAATAATCTAGAGATGGTATTAGCAACTTCCACACTGACTGATACCGACAGTGCGGCACACAGGCAGCAAACCAAGTCCTTGTGTGTCGGTGTGACAACGGGAGCCCTATAAGCTATGTGGACATTGTATGACATCCTGACGACTCTTTCTAATGACGTTCTTCATTCCTTCCTCATAACATGATGATAAATAATAAAATAGGTATATTACTACGCAAAGATCAATGGATACTCCTCCCTATTCTGGACAATGCCGACGTTCGCTATTTCAATCTCAAACCAATTTGATAAATAATATTTTTTGGCTTAGGTAAGCAACTATGCCCCGCGTGGGCGTCTGAACGCGAAGTCCTGGTCGATGAAATCGGACGAGACTTGTCCCCGCCAGCAATCATTACTGCCATGCTGACGGGTGAGGAGTGCTGGGGCGTAGTGGTCTCTTTCTGTGAAGCTTTAATGCTCCAGAAAGAGACCGCTGAACGGGATCGGGAGAGGGCGGATCCCGAGCGAAGAAGACGTCGGCGGCGTAATGAGCAGCCGACGGGACCGCGGGCCGCCAGAGAGTGGGGACCTCTGGTGGCAGATTAATTGCTGCGGTAGGGGATAGGATGGCAGCCTGATCTCACTGAAAGTGTGATCGGGCTGCAACATCTGGATAGGCTGGCTTTCCCTAAGATGGGGCTTAGTTAGGTGCGGCGTCGATCTGGGGGACCTGAAATCACATGGCCCGGGTTCTGCCCAGAGCAGGGCGCCTAAGACTGGCCGTCGGAGTGGTTTTTAGTGGAAACGCCAAATACTCCTGGCTCCTATATCCCCAAGAAGCCGGAGATCCGAAGGGATTTTCCACTCCGTCAACAA